CCAAACAAGCAGTTCCAAACAAGCAGTTCCAAACAAGCAGTTCCAAACAAGCATTTCCAAACAGCACGAAACATGTCCAACTCCGACATCGAAAAAGGCGCAGGCGCCAGCACTTACGTGCAACAACCACAAGCTGCTCACGTCGAACACAGCACGTCCTTCCTCCCGACGTACGAAGAGCACCTCAACGAAAATCTGCGCAAGTTCGGCCAGCCCGATGGACAAGACAACGCCAAGGCCTTCGACCTCATCGAAGAGCCAAAGGCCGGTCGTAGGAAGTGCATGAAGCGAGAATACCTCATCCTCGCCATCATTTTCTTCCTCATCTGCGCCATTGCTCTGCCACTCGGTCTGGTCTTCATTATCCGCAACCACCACTCTGATCAAGAGGTACGAGAAATCAACTCTACCACTTCCACTTCCGTTCAAACGAAGACTGACTTTGTCTCTCTTCAGCCATCGACTTTGCAGACACGTCAAGCCGAAAGCACCTCCTCCAGCATTACACCTGTCACCGCAGTCCTCACATCTACTGTCGTGCCTGTGACGGTCTACGTGACCATGACTCCAACACCAGAAGCCTCAACTCCCACCATCACCGTCACGCGTACTCAATCGCTGTCCACATCGAAGCCAGAGACTACCGCGACATCAGACGCTTCAACAGCCACCGTCACAACTCTCTCAATCGTCACAGCGACACCATCGACTTCAACTTCGACATCATCTACATCCACACTCTCCAAATTCGTCCTCAACCCAGCTCTCATCCCCAGCATTCAGTCCGAACTCGCCGAAGCTTCCTCTTCTCGCGCTGCAGAAGAGACGAAAGCTACAGCGACGACAAAGAAGGAAACTACCACCGCAACAGTCGTTTCTGCAACGACCATCGAGCCACCGACTACAGCTTCCAAGGCTATGCAAACTGCTCATCCGAGATTCGGCTTCTGTGGTGTCGCCGGCTCGAATTGTTAAGAGCGATGAGATGATTGAGCAAGCTTGCAGGATTGGAGGCTCGCAAAGGGCATCTGAGGTTCGGCATTGAGCGTTCGCTCGTACTTGGACATTTTGGTCATGGAAGTTCAAACGATTAGCATAGCGTTCTTTCCTACTTTTGCGATATTAGATCAGCGGAGCTACTAGACAGAAAGCTCAACAGTAGCTAGTCAGCAGTCAGATCAACTACTTCCTTCGCAATGGAACGAAATACCATGAATTGAAATCCTTCCAACCTCACAACATATACTTCATCCTTTATCCCTCGAACTTGTTCCGTCGACGTCTTCTATTGCCGTTCCTCACCCAAAGTCGCGTTGCGCGCAATGACCTAGCATTCGAGTAAGAGATAAGAGTGATTTGAAAAACAAGTCTTTCCCGTAGCATAACCTAATCCTGATCATTTCGCACTTAATCGTATTTACAACTATACACAGTCTTCCTTTCCATTTCAAAGCAGTACCGCCAAACAAGGGGAATCCTATGAAGAAGCAAAAAGCACACCCAACGCTCATCATAACACAATTCCTTCATGAAAAAGAAAGAGAAAACGCCCATCGCTCATGCCGCATCGCTTGTTTCATCACCGAATCAAACAAACAATCCTCATCAAGCGTACCCATCATTCCTCGCCATTCCGCCTCAGGTTGCACATGAATCACAACCACCCCAAGTTGGCTAGTAGTCCTTTCACCTCCGCATCCTTCAACCCATTCGTACTCAAATGCCGCACCTGACTCCCCTTCTTGAGTCTCGAAATCCCGACAGCAACCTTCCAAGCCTCCTTCTCATCCAACACAAACGTATACCTCTTATTATCCGTATCTCTCGTCGTCGCCCTCAGCACATGAAGAGCTCCATTCCCATTCGGTAGTCTGACCATTCCATCCTCGACACACTTGAGAGTCCAAGCTTTAACGTCCCATTCTCGTTGTCCGACTTTTCGGATATCGTCGTCGATTTGGAAGAGTTCGGTGTTGATGCTTAGGACGAGACCATCGGTTACGGGGCCTTCGTTGGCGATCAACTGGGAAATGGGGCGAGAGGGGGATTTATCGCTGAAGAGGTAGACGGCTTTGATTTGGATTTTGTTTTCGTCGGGGGTGGAGTAGGGTCCTCGCATGGAAGGGGGAGGTGTCGTTCGAGCGGTGCTAACGCTTTCGGCGTAGCTGCTTGCGCTTAGGCCGGAGATAGATGAGGCGGAGGATGTGAAGGCCGTGGATTTGGGTTTGTCGTAGGGGCGATAGGAGTATGCCGTGTCTGTGCCAGCTTGTGACTTTGCTGTTGGACGTTCGTATTTCGAGGGCGAGACAGGTGTTCTCGTGGGAGTCGAACGGACGCTTGCAGCTGGTGCAGCTGCTGATGCTTGTCGAATGCGCTCGATCTTTTCCTTCTCAGCCTGTCTGGTCTTCTCCCAGTCTGCCTTCTTCTTCTCGGCCAGCTCCCGCGCCTCGCGCTCCTTTTGCTCCTTTTCTCTCTGCTCCTTTGATTGCGCTTGCTCCTTCTCTCGCTGTTCTTTTGCTCGAGCCTCTCGTTCGCGTGCGATGCGTTCTCGAGCTTCGCGTTCACGCGCCTCCTTCTCTCGGGCACGCGACTGCTCCCACTTCTCCTTCTCCGCCTTCGCCCTTGCAGCCTTCTCTGCTTCTTCTCTCATCTTTTGTGCTTCTTCTCGTTTCTTCTTGAGCTCCTCTTCTCGCCGCCGTTGCTCCTCTCGCTTGCGAGTCTCCTCTCTGGCTTTCTCCCACGCAGTCTTCATATCATTCGCTTTAGGTGTTGATTTGGGTTGAGGTTCTGGCTCAGGAGGAGGCGGAGGAGGCGCCTGAGACTCTGGTTCAGGTGGTGGGGGAGGTGGAGCCTGGTATTCTGGCTCGGGCGGCGGAGGAGGAGCTTTCTGCCAACTATTTGGCGGTGGCCCCGTGTGCTTTGAGCGCTGGCGTGGGCCGTTTTCACCAGCGCTTCCACCATTTTCCGACCTCGATGCATTGTGCTCTCCTTGTGTCTTGCCCAGTGCCCATGCGATCACACCGACGCTGATGACGAGCACTGTCATACCCACACCCGCGCCGCCCGCTGCTACCAGGTTCAGCCACTGCTTGATGACCGGGGTCACCAGTGAGTAGAGGCCAACGACTAGCAGAGTAGATGCGACACCAGCGAGGAAGCTGTTTCGATGTGGTTGCATCGAAGGAAGATATAGAAAGCCCGAACCGGCCGAGTGTGGTGGGATGATGAAGATGTCGTAGTTGCCATCAGGCAGACCTCCTCCCGGTGGCCGGGGATTGGAGCCATGCGGTGGCGGCGGTGGTGGAGGTGGTTCGTCCATTGTTCGTTATTTACACTGGGTACCCTTGACCGTTTGACGGGCACCGTCAGAATGCTACCGGTGGTTGGCGTCGTTGACAAACGCTCTCCGTAACCGCCTGGATACTGCCATTCGTAGTTGTTCGCTCTTGTCGCCGACAGTCGTTGCGTGTCACGGCTTATTTCGAGTCCGTGTCGTTCGAGGGTGCGGTTACCGTCTCATGAATGACGCTGCTGCTGATTCACCGCACGTCAAGCAAAACTCCCGAACGCCGGCCACGAACCCGATGCGCAAAGAATGTTCGACGTGTCTCCAATAACTTGCTCGGAGGGACGGACAGCGAGTGGTGTTTCGAGGTGTGCGGGCCGCTGCAGAAAGGCGTTCGTTGGAAGTTCTGGCGTGTGTTTGTGAAAAAGGATGTTCCCTGGTCGAACGAGTTTCTTCACGACTGGAAGGCAAAGCACGGACGTCACACACGATCCTGCTGCTCGCTCGTCCCGAACACGGGCAGATGCTCTTCACGGGAAAGAGGATTCGCAGCAGTTTCAAGCAAGGCGCAATGGGATATTATGGTGGCGAGGTCCATGTCCTCTTGCACCTCCTTGTTGGTGTGCAGCGACCCATGTCCCCGACCAGCGAATGAACAGCGTATCGGCACACTTCACGCCCTCCATTTGATCAATTCTACGCGCCAAATACTCTCGCTGCACTCGCGATAGGCCCAATCTACTCGCATTTCTGCAATGCGATGCAGCTAGAGTCGCGACGGACGTGCCATCCCTCACCGACTGCTGCCACGTTGAAGAATGCGATGCAGCAAAGTATTGGCGCCGTCGTGTCGGGCTCAGGAACCACAAATAAACAGATGGCTGGTCGCCTGGCAACGCAAGCTCAGACGCTGATGACGTGAGCTCTCCAACCACCGCCGCAACTTCAGTGCTTCACGTGCTCTGCAACATGCACTGCGACGAATTCGTTATAGGGGAAGAGACACCGTCTTTACTTCATGCGCTGGTGCGTATCTGCTGCAGCTCAATGTGGCTTTAGTGGTTTGCGATTGACCGAATAGGGTGGACTGGCAGGGGACGTGTTCCCAGCACAACCATGCAAGGCAAGAAGGTGACTCGAGAACTCTATGCTGGGGCACACTGCCATCACAATGGCTTGAGCCGGAACGGAGAGCCTATTGTGCATCGAAGTTCATCAGTTGCACCTCACTCCATCTTGAGAGCATAGGCGTAGGCGCTGCCAACTTCAATGCAATCGTCTCACAAGCAGGTTTTGCGGAAGATGCGCTGTGCGTCGTTCATCCTGATGTCACTTGCTTTCATGTGACACTGCCTTGCCGCAAGGTACCACAATCACGGTAAGACTTACGTTGCTCAGCATCAAGAGCTCTTCCCCATCTCCTCAAGAGTCCTCTCAACTTCTTTCATCCCACAAACAACAGCAGAAGAACAAGACCGCCACCATGTCCGGCCGTCCATTCTTGACCGACGAACTAGGCACAGGCCTCCGAACAGCCCAAGTCCTAGGCCTCACAGCCTCCGCTTTCCTCGCAGGTATACCTCCACCCATCCTCAACACGTTTCCCGCTCCCCACTAACACCTATTCCCAGGCAAAACCTTCGCAGCATCCTACAACGCTGCCCCAGCTCTCCTCCAAGCTCCCGCTCCTCTGCTCGCCAAACAATGGCAAATCCTCTTCACCCGCGACAAACTCCTCGCTCCCATCATCAGCCTCTTCTCTAGCGGAACATTCGCTTGCCTCGCCTACCGCGACCAAACCTGGACCAAGCCCGCAATCCTCTACACCACAGCCTCTTCTCTCCTCTTGGCTCTGATTCCATACACTTACCTTCTCGGGGAGCCGGTCAACAAGAAGCTTGAAGAGAAGGCACGCACGCTCAAAGCTGAGGAGGCACCAGGTGTGAAGAGAGAGGAATCTGTACATGGATTGGTGGATACGTGGGCTTCCGTGAATTTCGGACGCGCGGTTGTGAGTTTTGTGGCCAGTGCTGCGGCGATTTGGGCGGCGGTCGAGAGACCAGGTGTTGTGCCTGCAAGTGCGACATTGGCAACTGGGGCAAACAGGATGGGCAACTAAACTAGAAGGCCAAACAATATGGTAGAGCAGCACGGAGAAACCACCAATTCCCGAAGCACATTAGAAGTCTTACAAATGAAATCATGTCCTTGAAGGGACACATGCTCTACACAACATCACCACCACCACCACCATGACCATTACCAACAACATCCGGGTACAACTCCGTCGAATTCTGTCGGTTGGCATGGTGGCCACCTCGCATGAACCGGCTCAAGCCATAACTGCCGGAAGATACACGTTCCGTTCCGAGGCAGTGGTATATAGAGCTAGCTCGTTCGCTACCTTCTCTTAAATAGAACATAAATCTTTACTATACTACCGTTTTGTTACCTAACTAAATACTCTCTATAGAGGAGCCTATCTATACTAATTAGTATAAGTTTTTTATTAATTCTTATATAAATTAGCTAGCTAGAAGAGCGTAATTAGAACGAGGTTAAACCTATATATAGTATTATTAGGACCTTAATTAACTTCTAATTATAGCTAATTCTTAGCGAAACTATA